TTAACAAGACCGAAAACGTTTGAAAGTTGTTATAATAAAGCGTCGGCTGCAAGAAAAGGTGTTTTAATAAGTGTGTTGATATTACAATATGCAGTCTAGAAAGAATTCAAGCACCTTTTTTGCAAGCTCTGTGGTGCACTTTCCAATGTACTGTACCTCATATTCATCCCCATTATGGGATTCTCCAACGGTACAGCATGGATCCCCGATTTTTCAAAGTGGAAAATTTGTCCCAATCATTGCAGATGATTTTGCACAAATTCAGTAATGAACATAGGGGCAAGAAAAGATTTGTTGCCTGATATGCAGCAAATGTGTATGGAAAGGAATCCAAGGTATGGTAATGACAACTGAACTATTGACACCTCCCTCTTGTTACATAGTGTGGTGCTTGGAAATAGAGATTTCCTGATCATGTTAAGCACATGTGTGAACTTAGCACATGAAAAACCAGCTGCATGTACTGCCAAACTAATGATGTTTAACTCAATGTTTACGAGCGCTTGCATTGATGGTAACAAGAAGGCTCTTCTAAAAAATTAATTATTTAAATTAAAAATTTTTTATTTTAAATAATATGCGTTCAATTCTCATTAGAACATTTGTGTTCGATTTTAAAATTTTTGTTCACCTGACGACAACAATGAACATAAGTTCATTGAAAGCACTAGAAAAAAAAAATATTAATAACACCATACTCAGTGAATTTTCCTTCCTGCTATGCTATAGTAAATTACAGTATTCAATCTTGAAATTATGTAAAACTCAAATAAATATATCTGTTTAAAAAGAAATAATCTATTCTTAAAACTAAAATTATTACTTTTAGAAAATGTGTATTTTATAAACTTATTATTTTTAAAAAGGAAAAAAAAACTTGTAAAATTGTCTCAATTTCACACACTTCATTTCAGTGAGAATGGTAATGAACTAGTCTAATAAATAAATAAATGAATCACACTACAGTGAAATCTGTGTAAACTGGAATCACATGGTATTCAAATTCTGTTTTTGTTTTGGAAGGTTTCTTTTTAACAGAATTTGATATTTTTTTTATTTTTACATTATATCAGAGAAATGTCATATTGGTTACATTCATTTTTATAGTAAAATAGAAAGATTATATTTTACTGCATAAAAAGATTCTATTACTAGGTTTAAATCAAAGTGATTCCAACTAAAGATGGAAGTATTTTAATGGAAGAATTGAGAATTATTTGACTGCAAAAATTTGTTGTTGCCAAAAAATTTTTCTGGTTATTTCAATTCTTGAGCTCACACAACAGCAAACAAGCCAAGAACCAAAAATTAGTGTCTCACTCTGTTGTTGGAAATCCTAACTATATCACAATAATATGGACACTAACTTAGTCTTCAATAACACTTTTCCAGGAATTTAATACTCTGTTTACTTCAATCTCTAAAATTATGAACATGTTAACTTATTTTTGAATACCTGGTACTAGTTAGTTACTAACTTACTCCATACAAAACAAATCAGTGGCATTGTGTTACGTATTCTCATTGTTCTCATGAATTACATTCATTGCTTGTTTTTGAGAACAAGTCATTCTGATTTCTGAAAGTTCTTGATTCTTAAAAGTGTTTAATTCTGTCAATGGCCAAGAGGATAAAAGCATCATCCTGCTGCTCTGGAAATCCTATCCTGGTTTGAATCCAGGCAGTCAAGCCCATAAATTTTTTATTGGCATTCTATCCCATATACGTCAGATTCTGTCCATCACCACCAGGGCTATTGAAAGTTTGTGTGGAGACCAAGGGTAGAGTGAACCCCTTTTGCCATATTTTTTTTTTTTTGAACAAATGAAATATGTAGAATGTTTATTAATAAAAAGCAGTCTTAAAGATTTATTTCCTGTTAGTAAAAATAGCATTAATTTGTAGGGAATAGGAACTGCTACAGTTCCCTAAAAGTTGTCTCCAGACTGGGAAAAAATTTTCAGCTTTTCCCCTCTTGAGAACTCTCACCATCTGGCTGATCAATTGTGAGCCTGGCCAAATCCATGAAGAGTATCAAAAAAAGGGGGATCATAGTGACCACAGAACATAGAAATAAATAAATGGATTAACTTATATTTAGAAAAATTATTTATAAATAATAAAATGTCAAGATCTTAAATTTTTAACAATTCTTACAAAATGGGTACTTGACGGATCTTTTTTGACAAATGTTACCAGCTTGAGCCACTGCACTAGATTTTTGTGATCACACTTTCAATAGCCATCACAGTTCACGGAGATAACAAAGATAATTTGTTCAAAATGATAAATATCCAACAAAACAAGAACAACAATAGACAAAGGCATAAAAACAAATAATAATAATTGATTGGAAGAAATATTTCACTTTTGGCCAAATGGTTAAATATGTCCTAAAGAGAACTTACTAATATATACATGCTCTGATACTTAAGAAATTTACTATCTTAAAGAAAAATATTCTGAAGGTACACTTCCCATATAAAGAAATACTAATACAGTGGAACCCCGGTTAACGACCAAATCGGTTAACGAACTTTTATTTTGCAAAAATTTTGTCTCGGATAACGAACTTAACGGCTTTTTTAGTCAAATTTGTAAGCTTGCCGACTTTTAGGAAAAATCAGTTAATCGTGTGTCGGTGATGGTCTAGGGTCCATTCGTACGTTGGTGGTGGCGGAAGAGACAAAGATGACAAGTATTTTACAGTGAAAATCGTTTATTAGAACGGGAAGATGCTTACATATTTCAGGTAATTGGAAATGGCTTATCTACAGTATTTTCTCTCGGCACTGAGGAGTGGCATATCGCTGGTCCTACGATAGTGCAAGCTGATCAGTCGTAGCCCCAGAGCGGACGAAATGGGTTCGCTTGGTCACAGAAGAGATGGTAAGTGACAGAGCTGCAACGACTGGAGCGGTCCGTGAGACAACACAAATTTTAGCGGGCACGACTTCAGGCTTAATGCAGATGAAGACGACACAGATTAATTGCCATAGAATTTTTAGGAAAACTGCGTTTTGACATTGAGATTCGGGATTTTTATAGTATTTCTTCCTTGAATCTCACCTTCCGATTAGTCCTGCGTCCCATTCCTCGCTTCCTGGTCGTTTTCTTCTTTGTCTCCAGGTAAAAACCGAAACCAGATCAGGTCACGAGAAAGGTTTGTTCCGAGGCGTTTATTTGACACCTGTTCGTCGACTCTGATCAGAAATTGTTGATAAACCTATAAGCCTTTCGCTCATAATTTAGCCTATTGTTTCTGCTATCTGTCATTTTAGAACTTTAACGACCGTATGTGATGTTTTTATACCCGTCAAATCTTTCCCCTTTTCCGAAAATTTAACCTAGATCAATTGTTTATGAGCACGTTTTCCTATATTTTCATTAAAGAAAACCCATTTTACAAATAAAATTACAAAAATACTGACGTCTAGAACGGATTAATTGTATTTGCATTAATTTCTATGGGAAAAATTGCTTCGGTTAACGAACGGACTCGTGGAACAGATTACGTTCGTTAACCGAGGTTTCACTGTATAGTCTATGATCAAATCAGCATTTAATATGAGATGGCAAAGATTCTATTTTTCAAATTTTTCTCATATCTGAAAATCAATCAAAAGACATTCACTATTTTTAAGATATTTAAACTACACATTTAATTTTAATATTTATTTGAGATGTTCAGGTAAGTAAAGTTTGTGTGAGAGAAATTAGCATTATTTAGGAACTACTAACATATCTGACATTGTTACTCTCTAAAATGAATAATTTATTTATTGTAATGTATACAAATCAGGGATTGAAAAACTGAATTTTATGGCTCTCATAACTAACTCAGCTAAAATAGCTGAGAGAGGCGAGTCCACAGGTACTCCCTGTTTCTATAAATAAACATTACCATTAAAATGGAAAATTATTTTCTGTAACTAATAAAAGAGCCTCCCTCTAGCCCAGTATATGTGGTATGGAATACTCATTCTCGACCAAAAGAGCGTTGGCAAGCACGACGGCTTCAAAATGGAGAACAGATGAGTATAACGAGACCACATCTATTTTGAAAAAAATAGTACAAATTTGGAGGTGTAGCTCTAAGAATACTAGTTATAAGAAACCTTGCTTCAAGAATGGAAGAAACAATAAGATTGGAGCTAGGAACAATTGCAACAATTTTCTTAGCAAGAGCTTTTTCTAAAAAATAGGCTGGATGGGAATGCTTTTTCACTAAAGAATGAAGGGGCCAGGCAGATTTGTTTTTTTTACTTACAAAATCTGGGACATGCTACATTGGCTGGTGGACCCAGGGGTCTAGATAATACTGATGCTACTCTCAGCATTATCTGAGCATTATTGCTGAGAGTGATAATAGTCGTCTTTTTTTTACAAAAATGTCATCTGCATGTCCTGAAATGTCCATATCAAATTTGGTTGTCTTTGGCCTGCTAAATATCACCCTACACCAGGAACACCTGGTGTAGGGTGATATTTTGGGGACCCCTGCTCTAGACAGTGTTGAATAGGGAATTTTTAACTTTTACAATCATTCTGTAGTTTTCAAGAACATATTATTCTTTGTACAAAACAATTAAATCATTTCAATAGCTTTATTGCAAAAATTGAATTTTATCTAAAGATATGTATGTTAAAATATATTTAAAAATTATCAAATTGTTTATTGTATTTAAAGAAAAGTTTAGAATTTTAACCTAATGTCTTGTTTGTTATAACTTACAAGTTTTTATAAACACACGTTTTGGGTTCATTAATGCAATTTAAGCAAAAAGATCATTAAAAAAATATTTATCATTATTTAAGAAATCTTTTTTTATGAAGAATGGACTTAATATAAAAGTGTTTTTTATGATTTTATAAAAAATATTATATACATTAGTAAAACTATATTATTGTAAATTGAATACTTCAAGAAAAATTATTCCCACTTTCTTTCATGTACAAATATAAACTAGTTATTACAATAAATTTAAAAGATTGCTTACCTTTCCATTAGTAAAATTTCCATGATCAGAATCCTGACTGGAACTACTACTGCTTGAAGAACTGCTACTCTCAACTGATTCTAGATCACCTGTATAAGAACCAGATGTAACTTTACCAGCTTTGTACAAGTGGCCATTTTGAATAAGACGGCCACTATTAACTGCTCTTTTTGCAGCTAAACTCAACTGCTGACTAAAATCAATGCCTGATATAATATCAAGACTGTAAGTCTTTCTTATATATTTCTCAATGGAACGAAGATTTGATCCTCCTACTTCACCTAATTCTTTTACAGTTTTTTGAATTACTTTCACAAGATCTGTACTCTTAGTTACACTCAATGCACGACTTTTCAACTGTGACATGCATACTGGATCCTTATAGGAACATAATCCCTTATTATAAACCTGAAATTAAAAAAAAATTTTGTATTTACTTGAATATGTTATCTCAACCAATTTTACATTTTTCAATCTACTAAAGTGTCTAAATATAACAGAATAAATTAAATATATGAATTTCAGATATTACTAAAATATATTCAAATGTAAGATGCTAGTTTTAAATATCATTTAACAGTTATTTACACTCTCTCTCTTAAAACTAAAATAATAAATTATATAACCAAGTTTATAAACCAACTCCAGAAACATTAAAAAACTTAAGTTTACATTTGTAAAATGAAGGAGCTAAGATAAACCTTAAAATTTATAAGTATTTTCAGAACTACATCCTGTCTTCAGATCCACTTGAAAATTATTTAATGTAAGACATTTAAAGACAAACACTTGTCTTTAAAATTCTTTAGTGTTGTGACTACTACTACTGTTTAATGACACATCATTGGAGTAGACACCCGTAGAGTTTGTTTTGCTGTTGTATGGTCTTTTTCATTGAGTCTTGATAATGCCTCTTTGGCTTTATCAAGATGCATAAACATAGTTGAAGAGATGAAGAAACAGCATAGAGCAAACACTGGACAAGTATCTAAGAACCATTCTGAAGATAAATCAGTATGTCATCAAAATGTCATTGATAAATCAGTATGTCATCAAAATTCTACCTACATATTTTTTAAATTAAAAAATATATTGTTGACATCCTCAAAATGCCAGATTGCAATTTTTAATCATAATTTAAAAATTAATCAGGACATCTAGCCCCTAAGTTTTCCATATTCGAGCTTTCCATTCTTGAGATTAACAAAGGGGGCAGACAGCCAGATGGCTGACAGTGAGAATGTATAGGTTTACAATTTGAAAACTGTAGCCCTAAAACAGATCTCATAAAATGCACTCAACTTAAAATTCTAGATTAGTAGTTCTCAACTCATTCTGCAGAACACAGGTATTCTGCAAACTTGTTTCAATGGCAAGTTTATTCCACTGTACTAAAACATTAATTTATTCATAGACAATTCCATGTTTACTATTTTATTCAATACAATAAAGTTTATTAGTTTATTGCTTCATTGTTTCATGACAATGGTAAACATAGACTTGCTTATTGAGTTTTGAATATATTGATGATAATGTTCCATTTAATAAAAATTATATAAATGTTATTTCATGGCCTCAGAAAGGTTGAGAACCACTGTTTTAGATTATAAAAGCCTATATCTCTCTGTCTCTTAAAGCCACCTACATCCTATCCTCACTTTAAACTTCTTACATTGTAACTTCAAACCAGACATGGTGTATAAACATTCTGAAGACCTGCACCTTATAATCTATGACTCTTATTTCACCTTTAATGGATTTTTTTGGAAAAATAAACATATGGTGTTTCTATCAGTTTCACTACTGCACATGATTTCTCTGAAATATGCTTTTCCGTTACCAAATCTCCAAGGATGCCAAAAGCAGTCATGCAAGGTGTGCATGACTGTTTTTGGCACTCCCTTGATGATTGCACCCAAATATAGTGCAATCATCAAGGGGGTGCCAAAAGATATTCCTAATTAAGTGTCTGATTTGAATTATGAAATGACAAAAAAATGAACTTAAAATTATGCTGAAAAAGTAAAATTGTAAGCTCCAAAGGTCTGAGTGTTAAGCACTTGCATTATACATTTATATGGATTTACACTATTGCACAATACAGCAGATGCAAAGTTGCCTTGGTGATAAGTTTCTTATCCAACAAGGAATAAACTTCTACAAACTAGTATATAACAATGTTGCCAGAGGTCATACCATTCAAACACAATTCAAAGGAGTTTTGATGGTGAGCAAAAAATAAGAATTCACAGTATTTGCACTAATTTGTAAGGTAATTAACTGTAGAATTTAACATAACAATCAACAAAATGTGATTAATTAATTATTACTGATAATCTTTTAACTAAATATTTTATATTAAAAAAAATTATTATTGTGTAACATTATTATTTATAATTTTTTGGCATTGTCTCCAATCTGTAGCTTTACAACAAAAAGATCTTAGCAGCCTTTAGATACATAGATGCCTTTGATATCGTAATTTTAATTTTTTTTAAAATAAATGTAAATCTATTTTATATAATATATAATGTAGCTGTTGTTTTACTTTGTTTATAATTTTTTTATGTCTGTTATATCTTTTATATTTTGTAATCATTTTATTGGGAATTTTTTTTTTTGTTATTGGGGGGGTAGAATACAATCATCTCTGACATTTCCAACTGTAAACAAAAATAAATAAATAAATACAAAATTGAAGTCATGTAGAAAATGAATCAGGTCCACAACACTACCAACACTATTTACCAGGGTAACTGGAGCAAAGTGTGCACTCCAATAGCAGTTCTGTGTCTTTATTATAGCAATCAAATCTCATGTACATTTGTTGACATTTAGCTTACAGTGTATACAAATTAGTTAATTTAAAGTATTTGAATAGTGACTAAAAATGAACCATCTAGAACTTCAAAACTCAGTTGATGATGTTTGTTGAAACAACAAGTTTTTGTGAAGTTTGGAGTCTTATTTGACTGGTCAGCAGCTAATATTGACAGAAACATAAGAAAAGCATTAAGTTGTTGTGCTTATTCAGCCAGCACTACTCATCAATGGGTTGTTCAAATTAAAGATTGTAGAGTTGACATTGAAGAGGCACAAGGAGGAAACAGAAGTGACCGTCGACAGAAAGAAAATTGCAATGAGATCAACAAACTGTTGAGGGAATCTAAGAACTGGAGTCTGCAAACTATCGAGGAAACAACTGGCATTCCATGGAAAATGGTTTGGTTTATATTAAAAGAAAAACTTGGTCTCAACAAAGTACAAAATCTAGGTTCCATATGAATTGAGAGGGGATCAAAAGTTGAACAAAATTGCAGCATGTCAAACAAATCTGTTTCAATTTCATTAGATAAGGAAGCTTCTTGAACATACACTGGTGAGTGATGAGACACGAATTCCCACATACAACCAGCTGAACATAGATCTAAAGTTTAGGTTCACCCAAACAAATCAATAAAAATTCAAGTTAAGAGAGGCTTTCAGCAAAAGAAGAGAATGCTATTAAAGACCATGGATTTTCACAGAATTGCTTTTCGGCAGCTCCCGCCTGGAAAAAACATCATGACTGCCAAAACTTGTAAGGACTATTATAGATCACATCAAGAAATGGAATAGTAAAAACAATATATGATATCCCATTATTGCTTGTAACAATGTCAAACCCCCTAAGAAGACCACTAAATTGATTCATAACTATTTTGTGGATGAAAGAATTTCACTTTGGATTCAATCCATCAATTTACTTGATCTTCAGACGTGATTTCAACTACTTAGTCCTCTTAAAGTTGCCATAAAAAAGTATTCAATATCAAAATTGGGATGAGGTCAAAACTGCATTGAATAATGCAATCCAGCATGGTTTGTCACATAGCCTCTATGAAAGTGTTAAAATGCTGCCAGAGTAATAGGAATGAGTCATTTCACAAGAATGAAACTATATTTAATTATTGTAAAATTTCAATATTTTTGTATATGTACTTTTTTGTTTATTTCAATAAAACCATTGATCACTTTGCTCCAATCATCCTGCTAGATCTGAACATTCACATTAAAGACACACAGTTAACTATGGAAATTTATAGGAAGTTCACATATATTCCCACCTGTACTCATTATACCTCCAGTGAGCCTCAGATAGAAGTTTTCAAAGCTATATTTGTTAAGCTCTTCAATTTTCATCCATAAAAGAAAGCTTAAATAACTACATCACAAAAATAGTTTGTGCTTACAGATACACAACTATATTGATAAAAAAAATTATCTGATTCATTCCCAATACAAAGCATTTGGAGAAGGGATGCATAAATCATAAGAAGAGAAATGTAGGCTTTATGACAAGAATTTTGGAAATAAAAACTAAAGAATATAATGGAAATTGATGTACAATTAATCACAATGTCATCCTATCATCTTCAAATTATGTCAAAAACCAAAAAAGTCCTATTTCCCAGATCAAGACAGCAAAAGTGCATGAAATCCCACTGGAGAAAAAAGAGAGAGGAATCAGTAGCATAGTTTGGCAATGCTATGCTACTGATATAGTATTTAAGAACCAGAAACATAACTAGACTAAATACCAGAATAAACAAACATATACAAGATATTATGAATGGCCTACTACATAATACTACACAAACTAATTCCACATCTAGAAATGACTCGTAAATTTTTAGAAAGTGTTGAAGATGACTACCCAACTCGAGAACAAATTTATAATTATGTTTTTCTGGGCATTCCTCCCTAATATATGAATGAAGATAGCTATGAACTTCACCAAATTTTTCATAAATAATATATTTTATTCGAAATTAACAAATGCTGCGAAATTTGCAATTCCTGACGAATTTCCTCGCCATTTCTAAGTCTACAAAACTATATTTTGAAATTTATTTTAGAATATTTTTTAAATGAATAAAGTTTAATGACTTTTATATGTGAAATGTAACTTTATACATATGTATAATATATAAATTATTACTTTATACATAAAATATTACTGTTACAATGTGTTTGCAATTTATTATACTATGTATCAATATGTATGTATGATCCATGTCTTTGTAATTAAATCGTTATTAGTTGTTAACTTTGTACTTGAGCGATTCACTTCCAGTACGCTATCTCTCAACCCATCTCTGTCCCGAATCCAATCACTTGCATACGAAGCTGCTCGTAGGACCAAATCAACACGCCATCTCAGCTTCCGTGTCAATCGGGACACTGATAATTCTTACTGCTCATACAGTTATAATGGCATTTTCATCTTTATGTGAGAAATCGAACTTCAACGTAAACAGAGGCACAGTCCTTTTTTATTTTTAACTCTTTCCGCCCTGTGGGCACTAAGAGGGCCTCTTTTTGCAAGCCCATTATGGGTTCGGCCAGGCCCACAATGGGGCTGCCGGGTGGTGAGGGACGGGGCCCGACATATCCGAACGGACCACCCCCCAAAAAATTCCTGGGGATTTTTCGACCCATTCGGATTCGAACCCGGGTCCCCCAGAGCGGTAGGCTGCCACCTTGACCGCTCGGCCATCCGGCCGCATATTTAGGATTTAATTATTTCAGTCGAAGCGGTAGGCTGCCACCTTGACCGCTCGGCCATCCGGCCGCTTTAGAGGCACAGTCCTGACGAGGCACTAAAGAGGTGTTAACCCTCCCAGTCACATTTATATTGTATAGCTTTAGGCATAGTTTTAAGTTTACCTTTACCTTTTATAATTTTAAATATACTAAAACCTTTAGTTAATACCAACTGATGAGGGACTATTTTCTATCGGAAAATAGTCTGAAATGCATTTTGGGTTCTTTCGTTTCCATACTTATGTAGTCATTTTTGTGTTTATTAAACGTTTTCACTTTGATTCCTGAGTGTTTGTGCCCATCATTGGTCTGATAAGCCCTCACTATTATCTGTCTCATGGTTGTTGATAATTTAATTAATATAGGTTTAAAAAATTATAAATTTTCTGTTATTTGTACAGAGTTACTGAAAACAAACATATGGAAAGAAATATAATAAATTTTTCTTCTGAAATATTTTATCCCATTGTTTAATTTAATTTTTTGTCATGAGATTTTCATACATACAGAATGAACAAACTGTTTACTAAAAAGATCTTTCACATTTTTCAACTTAAATACATTTTTCACTTTGACATGATTTTTCCAACTATAAACAATGTTACTATGTTCTCTTTGATGTGTTTTTCAACTGGAAAAACTTTTTTCCTTTCATATAATTTTTCAACTTAAATAAAACTATTTGAACACTGATTAGCTTTTCCCTTTGTTTTTGAAGTAATTTTTTTTCTACCTTGACTAGAGAAATTTTTACAGTGATAATAATGTGAGATAGAACTGGTATGATCACCTCTTGTAACTGCATGATCCAGTTCTGCACAACTTCTAGACTTGGGCACTTTTTCTTGGACAATCCTTGAACTGGCTGTTGATTGTTGGGCACATTTCAAATTGCTGGCCAAAGCTAGAAGTGGCCAGCCATTTCATAAATTGACTAGACATTGGCCATAACATGCCAACAAGTCAATCATGATCACTTAGTCAATTCTTTCATCAGTTTTGCTTGATCACAGACAATATAAACTTTTAAAATGCAAAAAGCATTTATAATTTCCATGGAATTTCATGTAATTTCCAATTCCATATTTTCCAAACAGAAAATTTTTAAACTATTGCTATGGATTAATAGCACTGCTTATATGAGATAGTGTGATAATTTTTGTTTCTGATTTTGCAACATAGTGGAAAAAAAGCATGTCTAATTATTGAATGAGAAACATGAAAAAAACAGAACATGCTCTTTATATTGATGATAATATCTACGTTATAATGCTATTTCATAAACTGCTTTGTTATGCCTTAAACAATTTCAGTTACGTACCAAAGAGGAACAAAACTTATGATTTACATGATAAATGGAAATAAAATTTTACCTTGTTTACCTTTGTTTTTTAAGAAGTTATTCTTCAATAAAAAACCATGTTAACTTTACTTCTGGTGTTGTATAAAAAAGGATTAAGATAGACTCGAAAATTTGATATTTTTGTAAATAGTCGAAAACTTCAATTATGAAGAATTATATCCTGAGTTATTACAGAAATTGTGTTAATATGCAAATAAGTAGGATAACTCGAAATTACCACCAAAGGGCCTGAAGCAGTTAAAGAATGGATAAGGACAGTATGGTGAGAAGAATTCTTCATGTTTTTAATGTAAAGTGTCAGAACCTACAATAGAAGGCTGACACTTGATCGTTTTTAACATTGTGATCTCTCTTTTTACTTGTTTACCTTTGTTTTTTAAGAAGTTATTCTTCAATAAAAAACCATGTTAACTGTTACTTCTGGTGTTGTATAAAAAAGGATTAAGACAGACTCGAAAATTTGATATTTTTGTAAATAGTCGAAAACTTCAATTATGGATATAAAATTCTTTTTTTGTTACAAAGATAAATATTACTGTTTGATTTATAATGCAAGTATGTTTACCAAGAAAATATATATAGTAATTAACATTTCAGGTTAATAAATAAATTTATATTTTGCAGCATAATTCTATAAGAGTGGGTTAAACCTTTACTTGTCAAAAATCAAACATTACACTGCTCTTTCTTTGTGCACTGCTGCTGTTTTCTCATTCTGTTATCTTATGTGCCAACAGTGTTGCCAGTTGCAATTACTCATTCAATTAAAACTTTTTGTCTCAAATTGTATTCACTTTAGGATTTTTCAAACATTAAATTTTTGGAGGTATATGTGAGACTTATCACACTACTATCAGGATCATCACAATGACACTTTGATGTTTGATAAGCAACTTTTATTACTGGTATGCATTTCAGTCACAAAGACCCTCTTTAGTTATATATGAATATAATGGTAACTACAAGTTATAAACATTTAATTAAAATTATTAAATTAAAATATTAAATTATAAACATTTAATCTTTAAAAGGTAAAAATTCATAAGCTTAGCCACTAAAATAAAACATTCCTTACAATTGCAGATCTATTACTAGACACTCAATTGCAATTAATATTCATTCTGACTTGAAAATTTCACTTGTCAAAATTACTATGATCTCTCTCATCTTCCAAATTTTAATGCCCCTTTGCCAGTTTTATACTGAACCTGCTTTGTATATTTTATGTCCTCTTAGGCACCAAATTTTAACTCTTGATGCTTATATAACAAAATGGTATACAGTGTATTTTAAATGCTATCTGGTTATTTTTGGAAATGTTTATTTCTGATTTATTCTGCATTATTTTAAATTAAAATATTTTTCTTATTATCAGTTATTATTTATCAAATGCTTTTAGATATATAGATTAAAGGATTAAATAATATGTTTGTATACCTATATTTATGTCATATTAATGATTATAATCTTTAATCTATAATTTCAAATAATAAACATTTAAAAAACATACATTTTAGAAAACTTTTCATTACTAACCTTTAAAACAGCACCATCATTTACAGCTAACTCAAGCTGCTCCAAAATAGCATCTCTATTAACTTTATGATTCTGACGTACTGCATTACATATTCTTTCCATTGATGGCCTCTGCTTCTGATGTCTAACTTTCTGAATTGCCTCCAGAAGCCATTTGATGTACACAGGATTTGCATGGCCTGGACCAGATGCAACAGCAGTTCCATTACTATCATAATCTATATTTTCACTTTCCTTCATTGCTATATGATAATCATTTCTTTTTCAATCCATACTTTTACGTAATAGAAAAACTTCATTGTATTTTTTTATTACACTATCCAGTATCCATAATATCAAATTTTCATGGACTTCCTATAGATTTTTATTTCTTCTATTAAAAATATATAATAATAAAAATTAAATAAATTATTTTCCCCATAGTTATAAAATTTAAATATAAATTATATCAAAATAAAAGAAAAGTATTCCAAAATTACAAACTAACTGAAAGCACAATTTTTTAATCTAAACAAATATATGACAAATTCATAAGTTTAGAAATTTCAATACAGAGTATTATTTTGATTTTAATCTAAAGCATTTGAGTTGAGTAAATAAAAATCAAATACTCATATGAAAACTGGAAAATTATACTTCAGGAACATCTGAATTTAATAATTTCTCAATTTAAAAGGTTGCTACTTATATGTATACTTATTTTAATTTGGTTTCCACTTTTAATTACATGTTATTGGAACGTATGCTAAATGGCATAATGTATATAATAGTGCCTATAGCTATGCCAGACCAAAGTCAAGACATAAACACAGAAAACAAATTATTACTATTGTATTTTTGTACATTGATCAGCATGCCCACTTATGTGAAATTATAACGATGAATTACTTACAAGCATGTGTTGTAATATCATAACCCTTCTTATACAAAATTGATTTGTTTTGTTGGTTAGTTATCAGTATTGTGGACAGAATTTTACTTTTCTGCAGGAAACTTTTGGGGTTTTAGGAATTGCATGTGTCAATCATACTAGACCATGAAATGTTTGCTTTGGGTATGTTACTAAGCTAAGGTTACTAACGACTTTATTCATCAATAAAGAATTGACATCTGGGTTGAACCTAGATAATCACTCAGAAAGTGCTTATTAGAACATGGAACTGATATTGTTGGGGGAGGAGGAAGTTAAACCTGATTTACAATATGCTTCATTAATTAGAACAATAATAAACATGAACCAACTCAAAGTACTAGAGGCACTTGAGATTTTAAAGCAGAAAAGTAGGGTCTAGAGATGTCACAAATATTCAGCTACTATTCGGTATTCAGCCTATTAGGCTACTTTTTTTAATATTCGGTATTCGGCCGAATACCGAATCATGGAAAAAAACGCACATATTACTCAAAAACGTATTTATTTTAATCACAAATTATTACATTTAATGCTTAAAATCTATCAGTGATAAGTTGTGATGAATGAAAACAATTTTTTCAGCATTTGTTAATAGCAAACGATTGTGCTTTTCCTCATAAACTATACCTGCTTCTGAAAATAGCCTCTCACTATATACACTACTGCCAAAAGATAATAGATAAATCTTAGCAAATTCTATCAGGCTTGGATACTGTTTTGCGTTTGCTGACCACCACTTGTAAAGGTCTGCCGTCCAATGTAGGCGAACAGTTTTCATATAAAGTGATACAAACAGTGATATTTTTTAGTAATAAGGACTATTAGTAACACAATTTGATGTAACAATGAACAAATAATGCATGTTGTGACATGATCTACTCGCAAATAAAACAAATGTGCCTGCAGTGTTGCTACTTCACCCACTGTAACCTGTCACCCTCAAAATGTACACATATTTTGCCGAACATTCGGTGCTTCGGCCAAGAGCATAGCCGAATATTCGGTATTCGGCAAAATCACTATTTGTGGCATCACTAGTAGGGTCAATGTATAAACTTTATGGAGGAGAGATGCATTTCACAAGAATGTAAGGTCCTCTTTGAAAGTCATTATGAAAAATGGTTTTAGAACTTTTACACTTGGACTCATCCTATAGGTCAATTATAAAAAATTTTAAATTCAAATTTACATGTGAGCTCTTCTGCATTTGACATATTAGAATGTTGAAATGCTACAAGTTCCATCTGTTTAAAATTTTTTTTCACCTGAAGCAGATCTTAGAAGACCAAAAATGTTTGTTTTTTCTGAAAAATCAGCTGGGTAATTATAAAGGTAGTGAATTTTTGTATAATATAGTATAGCCCAGTTTCTGGAGAAGTTTCATTTTATGTTACATGAAATTTTTAGAAATTTAAAAGATAGTATGGTCAGACTTTAATTACATGCATACACCCAAAGTTTGAGAATGACATAAATTTCAGTTAATCACCTGATGCAGGCTTATCAGAGCCAAAAATGTTTGTCCAGTAACTAAAACCATGCTGGAAAAGTGTTGGGAGCTATTATTATTGTGTTGAACTCTGTTCCAGTTTTTATGCATTTGTTTTTTTAAAACAAAAACTCACAGGTTTATGTAAATGCATTTCTTTAAGCATATCTAAAGTTGATGCATGAAAATATTTTTAAAAGATATTCATATAGAGATGTTAATTAATCTACTGGAAAGAAGATACATGTTTATATTTTGAGTTTGTATTCTGTAAATAAATATATATAATGTTAAAACTGAGATTGAAATATACTCCAGGAATATGAAAAATATCACACCTTTGATACACATACTTCTGGTGAAGTTTATCAGCAGGTTGACCAGAAAAATAATCCAGAATAACTGAAATGCACCATTAATTCTCTTAGAAACCATATACCAAGTAACTCCTGGAGGCACCACAGGCAAGAAAGGTAATTTCTGGTCTCACTTATTTAAATTGACTTGCTGCTCAATGTGTGAAAATTATTGTAATTAATGTATTATTATTATTATGTTCGGTTTTGTGAGTTATACTCGGTTCACACCGGTGGCTGTGTACTATGCCGGACCAGAGTCAAGG